ATACAAAATATTCCAAAAACCAAATTTCATACATACTTGATTATTATAATAATCAGATACTTTTATTACAATATTTTAAAAGTACAGAATAAATAATAGTAGTACGTACTAAAAGTAAGTATTATAATTATTATTTTTTTTTAGTTGGATGTATATATTTATGTATGTTTATATTTAATTACGTCTTGGACTTTATGGAGTTACCTGAATGATGATATGATGAACATATGAGCATTATGAGTCGTGCACTTTTGGATTTTCCAAACTTTTTTTAAATTGAAGTTTGACATAAAATTATTGGGAAATTGGAAGTATAATAATAAGGTTATTAATAAAACCTTGTGTGTATTTAAACTACTTTAAAAAATTCCCTATAATTACGTTATACGTAATTTTTTTTAACGCGCTTGGGGATGCACAATTGGATTTACCAATAGTTTTTTAAGATTATTATCACTATATTTTAAAATATCCGAACATTTCCAGACTGGACTCAAGCGAATTAAGTATATTAATCTAGGTACAAGAAGACAATATTTTAAATATGCATGCAATGAGCAATGTGGGCGTTTAATTTATACAATTTATCAACGTGGCTTAAAAACTGATCAAATTTTGTTTTTAAAACAGGTTTAATACTATCGAAAAACAACGGGGCACCTAGCAGGTATAGTGATTCCGTACTGACAGTTTTTATTCCTGGAGAAATATAGGGTGAGTGGGGGGGAAAATGAAAAACGGGGTAGCACAAAAAGGCATCAGTAAAGACAGATTTTGTGTAATTTATCCAATTCAGGCGGCATTCATAAGACCGCCATTTTGTTACGTACCACAACTAAGTCGGCACTTGTCGTTTTGAGTGATCGGTTGTGAGTTATAAGGGAATATCTACGCTGTGAATTTTACGCGAGCAAGTCGGGTGTTTTAATCTTACCCCGTGTCGTGTAACATGATTTACGAGGTAGGTACGAGTTTTTGATTTTTATACATACTTATTATTTTTAATTGGTAGTTATGTTGCTATGTCTAAATATCGTTACTTTTTGGATTTTAGATTTTATTGTAACATTCCGTATTTACCCGCCAATATTTGACGGGGTAAGATAAACATATAAATGTTTCCATCTTGCCCCGTTTTCAAAAGTCATACAAATGGTTTCATGTTCTCAAACTGTACCTGAAAAAATTTTTTGTTTTGTCACAGCCATTAATTTTTGTATATTATAAGAGAGGCAAAAAGAGCAAGTGAGTCACCTGATGGCTAAGTGATTTCACTGCTGCCCATAGACACAAGATACAACAGGAGTGTTACTTGTACGTTGCCTTCTCATAAGGTATAGGGACAGGATTCGTAGGGATGGAAGTAGGAACTTAAAGAATGGGGAAAGACCACCAGATACTCGTTAGTAAATGCAACATCACAGCTCCTAGAACAATGCAATGCAACGTCACATCGGCTTATCTAGAAAACGTCAACATTCGGGTGGCCTTAAGAAAAGAGGAAAAGGAACGGGCATCCCGAATTCTCACTCACCAGACGAAACATGGCAGCAACTAAGAAGCTAACCACTTCACGCTGATTTTCTTTGAGAGGGTAGTATCGCACCGGTCGACCCTGCTCATTTATGTGTTACAGTGAACAGTAGACGTGGATCTACTACCAATTTTTCTTATTAATGTTTAGATAATATTTTTTTAGAAGTTTTGCTATGATTTTAGTTTTGGCATTTTTCTAAGATCTTATTAATTGGTTAGCTGTTTAATTTTGAAATATTTCATTTTTTACGTTTTGTTCTACATATTTTGTTTAAAAAAATGGTAAAAGGTACATGTACATAATTGTGTTTAAAATTATCTTGGCATTAACAATAAAAAAAATTATATGATTGATTTCTTTCATTTTCTGTATAATCTTATTCAAGTAAAGTGAAAAGTTTGAGAACCTCTAGTTCAATCTTTCCCCGACGGGGCAAGATTAAAATATAAAAAACAAATAATTTGTGTTATCTGTGTTATTTGAAGGTATTCTGATATTATAGACAGTTCTGAAGTGCCAGGACAATTAAAATTATAGCCTACTGACCGTCAATATCGTCTGACATTCATTTGAACGATTTTAGAAACTACTTCGATCTTTCCCCACCACCCTTTCATCTTTCCCCCTGTTTTTTTCTTTCGATAAAAACATTGTAATTTTTTTTTGCTTTCGAATAAATTTAACAGTGATTTATCGATATGACATAAAAATATGCTCTTTGTTCTTTATTCACTATAGATATAATTTTAGCTCAAGTAAATATGTACTGTTCTACAAGACGTCAAACACAACACTGCTCATCTCATCAAAAAAACTGTTCGATCTTCCCCCCACTCACCCTAATTGAAATTTTGGTATAAAGTGTCTCTATGAGAAGTAGATAAATTATAATGATTTCTTATATTTACTAATAAAATCCGTACAATAAAACTACTTTTACGGACTTTATCGCGTTTAATTTACTTATTTTTATTAATTCCCGACGTTTCGGGTGCTTTTCAGCACCCATGATCACGGGGGACTGATGTAGAATACATAGCTGACGTGAAGCACCAACATTCTGGGAAGTCTGCAGTTTGCGTGTCTCCGAATGTTGAAAATTTGCGTGTGTGCTTATAATAATGTAAAATTTCTGTAAAAAAAATATCAACCTCCAACTCGACGGATGTCAATGGATTGGCACAAATATTGCAAAAATAATTGATTCTCAATAATTTTTTTCTCAAAAAGTACGCATTTCCGCACATAGAAACTTTGCGTGTTTTTTTTTATAGGAGAGGGGGCAAACGAGCATGCGGCTCACCTGGTGGTAAGTGACTACCGCCGCCCATGAACAACCGCAACACCAGGGGAATTGCAGATGCGTTGCCGGCCTTTTAAAAAGGAGTAGGCTCTTTGTGTGTGTGTGCTTATAATAATGTAACCTTGCCGTAATAAATAAATATCAACCCCCAACTCGACGGACCTCAATGGAAAGCTAAGCCAAAATTTGTATCGTTAAAAGAATTACTAATAGAGTTATGAATTTCTACGGCAGGCTGTGAAGCCGAAATACTTTTGTAGCGGGTGGAAGGAAATGGGGAGATCTCCCGCCGGGCAATGTGTTCTGCCCGGGGAGCGGCTCCGATTGTTCGTTCGGAGCTATTCTATATATGCTGCTTTAATTTCGGAACTTTGATAGCGCGATTTAGGCTTCGATGTGTTTCGCTTGTGGCGCGACGACAGCGCCGCCACATCACTCCCCTGCTCAGACCGGAGGTCGATAGTGCAGTCCGATTGCCGGTGTGTCCTTAATGCCGGTGGGGAATGCATGCTGTGTGCGTAAGGGCAAGTGACGCCTGTGCGAATGATAGATAGCGGTGCTGGGATTAGTGGTGACGGGGATAGTGCACACAATTGAGGGAGGGCGGGAGGTGCTCTTCATACTAGGTAAGACACATCATTTTATTTTATAACGCGGATATTTGCGAAGTAAATTTTTCTAAAATCTTTTATAATGTGCTTTTTATATCATTTCTATGTTCAATATGATTGTTAGATACGATTTCATGCGACAAAACGTTGGAATCTTGATTTTAGGCGTAGTAGAATATACCTACGCGCTTTGCGCTAGGCATGCAATAATAATGAATACCAATAAAATAAAAATTAAAACATTAACAATAAAACAATGAAAAACTTCATGTTGACTGCGTCGTTAGTTTTGTGTTTGTAACTTTGTAAGCGCATCATTTGTTCGGGGGTCAAAAGCACAAAGTTATGAAGGCACAGTAAACAAATGTAAAAAATAAAATAATATTGTGAACCTTATTGGAATCTATATTTTAATAGGTGACGAAGGAAAGCAGAAAGTAAAAATTTCAATAATATAATATGTTTTACAAATGTATTAAATTAAATATTATAACATACATTGTTTACGTCCATATTGCCCTTTAAACAATGTTCTGAGACTGCCAATGTCAAACACGTAATTGTCGCTTGGACAAACTGTTGATTGTTGATATTCATGCTGCAATAAATTTTTGAATAAATTAGTGTTTTATCGGGACATCGGGACTGATTGCGTAATTAAATTGTAAATTAGTACTTAGATTGTTGTAAATAGATACGCGCGCGCACATACACACACACACGCATGCACGCACGCACGCACGCATGCACGCACGCACACACGCACGCACGCTCACACGCACGCACGCACGCATACACGCACGCACGCACGCACACACGCACGCACGCACACACGCAAGCACGCACGCACGCAAGCACGCTCGCACGCACGCCCGCCCGAAGCACGACGCCATTTTGATAGTTGACATTAAAGTAAATATTTTAATTGATTTTAGTATTGTGTAGTGTATTAAGTTTTTCTTAAATTGATTTTTCGAAGTGTTCCTAATTATTTCCAAAGCTTGGTTGCCATTTTTTTTCTTAATATATATAAGTTATAGGTAGTATACGACATTGTGTTTTTGTCTCTGCACTCTCCCTATTTTTTTCTTTATAGGGCGGCAAACCCTACCACATTACCACAGAATAAATAAATAATAAATAATAATAATAAAGTACTACGTAATACCTCATGTAACTTATTAATTATAATTATAACCTTTTAAGATACAATGTCACCCTTTTTATTTTCTATATAATATACAAGCGTGAAATTTGATATATGGCCATATGTGTATGTGTATGTGTATGTGCCGTACACAAATGACAAATCAACATATAAAAATATTTAATATGCGAATAGTTTATTTGCACAGCTGGATTGCGTTTGTATAGAACACAAGTGTTATTTTTTTATAGTTGGTAGCTTTATTTATATTAAGTTTGTCGTTCACGATTCGCAGTTGTTCAAAACTCTTTAAAAATTCCATAACGTTGGAAACATTATCCATCAGAACGCTTTACACTTGTTATTTTTTATTCTATAATATTTAAGAAGAAAAAACAAGTCATGATTAAAAATCCATTGTACGTCTACGGTGACCAAAATGCAATTAAAGTTCCCTCACATTTGAATTATGGAAAACATCTTCTGGCGACATTGGACGGCTACAATGACACTGCAGCTATCGTAAGTTTTTTTTTATTTATGACAAAGCGACTATTTGGACCACACAGAGCGTATTATGTGTCGTAAGACGAAACAGATCTATTTTTATTGAAAAATGGTGACAAACGAGCACGCAACCTACCTGATGGTAAGTGGATGCCGTGGCCCGTAGACATTTACATTTTTTCTCAATTAAGAATCAAAAACAGATGCGTTGTCACCTATGAGGACTAAGATGGAATGGCTCGTTTCCAATAAAAATAGTATGTATCCGGTTCTCTACACTCACCATACGAAACATAACAACATTAATCTGCTATTTTACGCTGGTATTCTGTGCTACAACTATACTACTAATATAGCTGCAGCATGGCTCTAACACGTATAAAGTATTATTCTAATTCTATTGCTAAAGTTAGTCGTAAAGTCCACTTACCTTCCATTTCATTAAATGCTCTCAACCCTTAAAAACTAAAATATCACTCGCGCTCCCTGTTATTCAACGTGTTTGATTCTGCTGACCCCTGTTATTTGGATGTTACTGAGGAGCTCCTTAATAAACTTGAGCTTTTGCGAAATCTGTCTAGCCGTTTTATACTAGCTCGGGAAATTTGATCGAACATCTTCAGTTTTGCAAGCAGGTCAAGTGACTCCTAATTCGATTTCGTAGGAAAACACAATTGTTATCCTAAGTAACACAGGAATCATCTTAACAAACGAATACTTAACTTATGTAGAACTTAAGGTCCGTATAAACTTATATATAAGTTCAACGAGCATTTTGGCGCGTTATATTGGCATTTCAAAACCATTATGATGCTTTACACTGTATAACGATTGGATGATAGCATACGAAATGCTTTTATAAAGCTTTTAGTTTTAGTGCAGCAAACCACAATGCAGCTGTACAGCTTTCAGCTGTTTTTAGTTCATTTGGATCTACAATAGCATTTTTAAGTAGGACCTTTTTTAAGCATTTACTTGCTTAATGCTATTTAATAGAATAAAGATGAAGCATTATAATGCCACGTATATCCGCTATACAGCTTTCAGCTGTTTTAGTGCCTATTACAATACCATTTTTAAGTAGTAAATGCTGCTTAAAAACATAAACTTGTACCATTATAATGCGCCGTGAATCCGTTATGTAATGTAATCCGTTGTGCTTTGAGATTTTTTAGTGCCCGTTGTTCTGTAATAGCACTGTTAATTGATAAGTAATAATCTTGTACTGCTGAACAGCGTAAACGTGAATCAAGGTAATTCTTGCATTTTTAAAGATCAACTGAGTTCTGTTGTACAGCTAACAGTTATTTAATCAAATACAATGTTAACGTGTGAGCATTTATACTGCTGGCAGTATTCATTAGCCTTTTTATAGGCTCACCAAGCTGCTGTACACCGACACCATTTTGTAAATATTTTAAAACCAAAAAATATAATCATTCGGACCTATTTATAAGAGCATAATGATATAACTTAATTTAATACTGCCCAACTAATACTATTATGTTCATTACCCAAAATTAGTTCTATACTAGGAATACACAATTGTTTTGGTTATTTCTCACATCTAACACATACATAATATTTTATATCAAAACCACAAAATATCAAAAGCGCGTGAAAATTTTCAATAAAACTTATAGTGACATTTACAGTAAACACATTTTCGCAGTAATATTTGATGACATTATTATATATACTTTATTGTACACCACAAAAACGATAAAAAAAAGCAAATTGCAAGGGTCAAACTTAAGAGATAGGTACAACAAGGCGGTCTTATCGCTAAAAAGCGATCTCTTCCAGACAACCTTAAGATTAGGAAAAAATTGTACTATAGGATAGTGGGAGGTGGTATTTTTTATAATAAACTTACATACTAATACCTAAATAAACTAAACCGATACATAATAACAAAATATTTAATACACTAATATATACATTAAAAATATGATAGACATACATAAGATTAAATAGGCAAATATGCGTAAAAATTACATAAATAAATACACACAGGATACAAAAAATAAATGTCGCAAATGATGACCAGTGGTTATTGCACTGTTAGATCGTGATTTTTGAAGTCAGTATTAAACTTTTCTAGTGTTTTCGCACGACGAATTAGCGGTGGAAGATCAATCCATAAGCAAATGACCTTGACTGTGAAGAAATTCTTGTAGTATTTACTTCTATAAGAATATGGCGGGAGTATAAGTTCTCCGGCTGACCGTAGAACTCTATCCGGTCTGTCATGACCAAGAAACTTAAAGTTTTCCTTGAGATAGCTAGGTGTCATTGCATTGAATAATACACAGTACAGAAGAGTAACAATTTGTAGATTCTGGTGAAGGTGAATGTGCAACCACTTGAGCTTTAAACGAAATTCGGAGACATGGTGATATTTGCGCAAGCTAAATATGAACTTAATAGCCAGATTTTGAATACGCTCAAGTTTGTTTAGTTGATTTTCAGTTAAATCAAGGTAGCTTGCGCCCGCATAATCGAAAATAGACACGAGTAAAGATTATGCTAACATAATCTTAGTAGGTACGAATGGGAAGGAAAGTACGTAAACGCCGCAATAAACCCATAGCAACAAGAGTCTTTCGGCTAACTTTTTTCAATTGATGAGACCACCAGAAAGTAGTATCGAAGTGGATACCAAGAGTTTTAACGGCGCTACAGTAAGGTATTACAACACCATTCAATACCACAGAGGGAAAGTTATTCCAGTCAGCTCTTGAAATCATGCCAACACTACCAACAATAATGGCTTCAGACTTACAAGGGTTAACCTTAAGCCGTTGGCATTTACACCATTCGCTAATAACCGCCAAGTCAGCATTGATGGCAGAAACAGCAGTAGGCAGATTCTCAAGAGTTGACTGCGTATACACTTGAAGATCGTTTGCATACATGTGATAGAGAGAATAAATTTTGTAACGGATCGAATTAATGAAGACAGCAAAGAGTAAAGGAGACAACACACCATCTTGAGGCACTCCAGCTCGCAGTTCACACCAAGATGAAAATGTATCTTCAATGCGAATACGCTGCCTTCGGCCTCTAAGATAACTTTGAAACCAGCCAACCACTGATGGATATATGTTAATGGAATGTAACAGACTCAACAAGATATCAAAATCAATGGTATTGAAGGCCTTACTAAAATCTAATAATCCCAACACAGTAAGCTGTTTATTATCCACGCCTCGTCGAATATCGCCAGTAACTTTAATCAGAGCTGTAGTCGTATTATGACCCTACCAGAAACCAGATTGAACAGGAATCAAAAGGCAACTGCCTTCTAGATAAAAACTTAATTGGTGAAAAACTAGTTTTTCTAGGACTTTAGATATAAATGGAAGAATGGGAATAGGGCGAAAGTCGATAAAATGTGAGGCTCGGGCCTTCTTAGGGAAAAGAATTACTTGTGCGCTTTTCCAAACGTCAGGGAATTCAGACGTGGAGATAGATTTATTCAGGATATGGTTGAGAATGGGAGTAACATAGGAAGAAATTTCCAAATCTTGGCAGTGTCACCGTTTTCGACTGGTTTACGAATTTGGCGTCGTTATGCATCCCTACATAACGTATTGTAGTGATTCCGAACTTTTTGTAATTATGCAGATTTTTGTTAGATCTATCGGTCTTGAGTTTGCTTTTCACGAAGCCTTTTTGATAATATGATGTTTGAGATCAGCGGTCAGCCATGGCGTAGGTAAGTGCATCATCTTTATTGTTTTACTGGAGCATGAACGTCATACAGTTGTACAAGAAAAGAGTTAAACAACTCAACTTTCATATCGACCGTAGTGGTATTTGCCACAGCGGCCCAATCCAAAAGGCGAAGATCTTTAATAAGACGTTTTGTCCATACCACTAAAATTACGCTGCAGAAGGATTCTCGTTTTTACTTTAGGAGGACGAACTTTGTATGTAAGGAGTAAGAGATCGTGGTAAGAAAAAACATCAGCTTCGTGTTACCCGTGCTTCTGGACAAAATCAGGCGAGGACACAATAATTGAGTCAAGTAAAGATGGGATACAATCAGAGGTTATGTGTTGCAGAAAGCGGTAATATATTATGTAAGTTACACGCCTGCGAAGTCGATTGTAGCTTCTTACACCGATTGTCTCTTTTAAGTAAACGTGTATTAAAACTACCCATAATTATGGTGAGACTATGGACGGGGGCAAGTTTTCAAATAAACATTCAAAGGAGGAGAAGTAATCAATGTGGAGAGACGAACTTTAACAAACGCCTAGAAGAATTTTCGTATGAGACACTGTAACTTCAATAAACAAATGCTCGACCTCATTAGAAGGAGGAGGCTGAGTGGACAAACTTACAACAGTAAAGGGAATGTAAGAACGAAGGTAAATCGCCACCCCTCCAATGCGGTCGTTGGCGAATGAGATGGAATCCTGGAAATGAGTATGAAGTGGATAGTAAGCATGGATTCAACCAAGATTCGGAGACGAGAATAGCAAGAATGCTACGGGACTCAAAAACGCAGGCATATCAGGATAGTGGGCTAGAATACTTTGTGCATTTAAGTGACTGGCATTAAAATATTTCAGAGAATCTGAGAAGTACGAATTAAGGACATCATATAACGGAATAGAAGACATTGTACTATGAAAGCTAAACTTTATAGATGTAACATCACGTGACGGCAAAGACAAAAAATCACCCAAATCGTCATTAACAACACTATTATTTAAAATATTATAAAATAAACTAAATATATATATAAGCTATACGTATATAAATATATATATAATATATATATAAGCTCAAGGTCGCTCAGCGAGCTATGGAGAGGGCTATGCTCGGAGTTTCTCTGCGTGATAAACTTAGAAATGAGGATATCCGCAGTAGAACTAGAGTGACCGACATAGCCCAACGGATTAGTAAGCTGAAGTGGCAATGGGCCGGTCATATAGCTCGAAGAACCGACAACCGATGGGGAAGAAAGGTTCTCGAGTGGCAGCCTCGTACCGGCAGGCGAAGTGTAGGGCGTCCCCCCACTAGATGGAGTGACGACCTGGTAAGATATGCAGGAAGTCGATGGATGCAGGTGGCTCAGGACCGTGCTTTGTGGCATTCTTTGGGGGAGGCCTATGTTCAGCAGTGGACTTGTGAAGGGCTGTAATGATGATGATGATGATGATGATATATATATATATATATACTAGCTCGCCAGGCAGACGTTGTTCTGCCCTCTACGATGACATTTTGTCCTATAAAAAATCCTTAAATTCGTAATAAAATATATTGAGGGTCATTTCTCGGGATGAAAATTATCCTATCTCTCAAGTTTGGTCCAAACTGAACGCAGAACGCTGAAAGATATTTACATCAGTAAAAAAAAACCAATATATGATGACATGAAATAACAAGAGTCAAAACCTTTATAAATTTTGTTTTGATGCAAATAAATATGGTCGCTCAGTTTTGATTGCCTTCTTTCGTCCATATATTATATTGCGAGACAAATTAAGTACTTAAATTACAATGTTAATTAGAACGAAGTTCCTTATCGCACAGTACGGATTTGGCGGATGGAGGTTAGGCGAGAAAAATGTAAGGGTACGCGTACACTTAATCCGTCATCGGCCGAAGTTTGCTCGGGCGATGATGGCCGAACTCAGACGATCGAATCAAACACTTGTAAAAGAAAGAGAGTGCGTACACAAACACGACCGTCATCGTCCGATAACGCACGAAAACGGCCGATCAACCGTTGAGTCCGAACTTGTTGGTATTTCTCGCAAGATTGCCGGCGTCTACAGTGCAAATTGAATGTATTTATAGTTTAATTTAATCATTCTGTCTTTATTCTGTTGTTTCTGTCAGTGTTGTTATCTACCTAAACGACTATGGATATTGAAAAATGTATTGGTTGTGTTTATAATAGACAATATAATAATCGAGAGGTTTCGAAACGGTTATGGGCTGAAGTTGGTTTGGAAATGGATATAGCGGTTCCAGATATTTAAAAAAATGCGTCTTCACAAGATCGGTTTTGGTGTACACGTACCGTAAGACTTTTCCCAACGACGACCCTTCTGACGTTGTATAGACGGCCTTGGCGGCTATAATGAAGCGAGATGGAATAATATCCATCTCCCTCGCACTGTTTCTTATCTTGCCATGAAAGAAATATTATTGGAACAAAGTTTCTCATCGGACGGTACGAATTTGGCTAATGGGGGCTAGGCGAGAAAAAGTGTAAGATTTTTCCGTCACGACCCCTTTCGACTTAGTGTAGACGCCCAATGCGGGCTATAAGGAAGCGAGATGGAATAATATCTCTCTCTCGCACGTTTGCTTATCTTGCCATGAAAGAAATATTATTTTATTGGAACGAAGTTCCTTATGGCACGGTACGAATTTGATGGATGGGGCTAGGCGAGAAAAAGTGTAAAGTTTTTACGTCACGACCCCCTTTCTATAGTGCGAGCGAGATTGAATAATATCCATCTCCTTCGCACTTTTTCTTATTTTGCCATGAAATAAATATTATTTTAAGTGACGCTTCATTTTAATAGACGCTAGTAATTCATTTATTTGTATTTGTTAATCAATAATATAATAATTTTATCAATAATAATATACTACGAAAGGGACTTCGTTCAAACCGAGTGTTTCACGACACTCATGCATGTTTTTTTTGTATTATAACATTTATTACCACGCGTATAGAGATGTTTTTGCAATGATGTAGAGTTTATTTAAGTTCTAACTGTGAACACTTAAATAGCCCCAATCATTATTTTACTACATTTTAATGCTAGTCCAATGCTTTTGTAATGCAATTAACATCTTCATTAAGATAATATTGCTAGTATAATACTTCGGTAATGCGATCGGCAAATTCATTGACCGTAATAATGCTTCTTTAATGCGATTGGCAACATTATTGACCGTAATAAAGCTTCTTTCATGCGATTGATATCTTCTATGACCACAATAATGCTAATATAATGCTCCTGTAATGCAATCAAACAACTATTGTGAACCTATTTAGGATCTAAAGCCGTATAATTAGTGCCCAAATAAGCATTACAGTAGCTGTATAAACGTTTGTAATGCTACTATAGAACTAACTCAAAAAGTGAGTGCTGACTCAAAATGCTGTAAGTCGGCCGTTATACTGCTCTAATGTGTTACTTGGGTTATCTCCCTCATAACATCCTGTACAACCAAACTTCTCCCTTTACCTAAAACGCTGATTTTCCTTTGCCCTTCCACCGGATGGACCATGTAGATTATTATTTAAAACTCTTTTTAATTTTCTTTTACATAATTTTGGCTTTTATTCTCATTTTTTTTTCTGTCTATGTGGTTAGGTAGTGGAACTTTCTACCACCTAATGTTAGAGACTGAAACTTAATAAGTAAGTTTTATTTTGTTATAGTGTTACCAGTAATTAGTATAAGGTATGATGGCATTGGCATGTCATCTTGACAAACATCCCAAAAAAAATTAAAGAAAAAAAAAACTTAATAAGTAGTTAAAACACATTAAGGCGTAACTACTTTACAACTTTTAAATTAATAATGTGCATTATTGTATTATAGCTATATTTGTTATATATAAGGTAAGGGCACCTATTTCCGCGGTATTTTTTGCTAAAACTTGAAAAGATATTTAAAATTAAGCATTTATTATACACTTTTGAGGGTTTAACAATGTATTAGAACCATTAGTGTTTCTACTCTTGAAATGTACGATAGGTTTGGTTATTAATCAATCAGCCTAAAAGTCAAGATTCCAACGTTTTGTCGCATAAAATCGTATCTAACAATCATATTGAACATATAAATGATATAAAAGCACATTGTCAGAAAGATAATTGATTGTTGAACTTATTAATATTTTTTTAAATCGATTTATTGCTATTTTTACATAAAAAAGTGCTTTTAGTGGCTTATGGTGTAGATTTGTCAAGTCCGCATGGAGTGTTAAACGTGATAACTTTTGAAACTATCAATTGTTTAACTCAATCTATTTTTAATCTCTTCATCTATCATGCGGGAAGCCATGGAATGTAAATATAAATGGCAGTTTAATTTTCTTTTGTTTAGTTATAACTAATTTTTCGGCGCAGTAATCCGGAAATTTTCGGTCATTTAGCAGCCTTGTAATAATTTATTTTACTAAATAGACTGCCTCACTGACTCACTTCGGTGCAAAGAGTGTAGTAACTGTCCTATTCAGGACTTCGGCGTCAACCACCGTCGTAAGTGGATACTGTATCGGTTGTTCGCAGCGGCTCAAAAAGATCGCTGTGCATTACCAAATATTCGAAAGACCAAATTTCATACCTAAGTACTTGATTATTATAATAATCAGAGATTTTTATTACAATATTTTAAAAGCACGGAATAAATTTATATGTATATATTGCAGTATATTTATACAGAAATACGTCTTGGACTTTGTGGAGTGATCTGAATGATGATATGATGATCATATGTGCATTATGGATCGTGCAGTTTTGGATTTACCAAACTTTTTTTTTTAATTTAAGTTTGACATAAAATTATTGGAAAATTGCAACTATAATATTAAGGTTATTAGTGAAAACTTGTGTGTATATAGACTACTTTAAAAAACGTATATAATCGTGTTACACGTAATTTTTTTTAATGCGCTTACATCATGCGCCATTGGATTTACCAATAGTTTTTTTCTTAATTAATTAATTATGAAAAGAACTCGGAGGCACCTTAATTTTCGTCGGAGGAAACATGAAGAGTCGTTGTCATTGAGTTATATGTACTACGTACTAGAGAAGCCATTCCAAACAAAAATTGTGTCCTACTCTATGTCTTCGCGCATGCGCGGGAGTAGTAGTCGCGCATGCGCGAAGACTTTAATTTAATATAAAATAAGATATTAATATAAAATAAATATAAGAATTTAATATAAAATATCTTAATTTAATCTAAACAAACATATTTCTAAATAAAATGTAATAATAATTATTTTATGGAATTCACAAATCTTCAATTTACGCAATATTTAGTTTGTATGGATTGCACTACAGTTCAGTTGAACATAGTCAATGTTCGGAATGGCTTCTCTAGTACGTAGTACATATAACTCAATGTGAAGAGTAAATAATAGTACATAGCAAGTAGGGGAATAAGTTATGCCTATGGTAACTAATGCCGCTACCGAATAATATTTGTTTTTCTAGATTAACGCCGAAACCGGTGAGACGTTATCGTATAAAGAACTCGCGCAACAAGCTGTCGATATCGCACTCTCTCTCGTACATATGGGTGTACGAAAGGGACAGGTGGTTAGCATTTGCAGTGAGAAACGGATGGAGTTCATGCCCACAATTTTAGGCATTGTTTGCGCAGGAGCAACTTTTGCCGCTGCTGACGTCACAGGCGGGAGAGGTAAACCATTCGTTTTAATTTCTGCGTACCTGATAGTATGTTACGGCTTTCGACAAATGGTGAACTTTAAAAAAATAACTATTGTAGTTTCAAATTGATTTCTTATACTTACACTAATACCTTCTTACGATTTTAATGTCGTATAATTTCATTCTTAATTATAGTCATTTAACGTCCGTAGTTTGTCCGTTTTTAAATTAATATGAATTTATTGTTTGATACAAGTAAAACAAGCTCTAAGTATCTTGAAGGTTTGAAGTAGTAGGCTTTTGGTATTGATTAAATTTTATCGGATCCTGCGTATCCTAGCAGATTGTAACGCGTAACCATCTTCTCAATATATATATATATAGGTTATTTTTTTTTAATTTCATTAGCCTCGCAATGTTCAATGTTCTTTTTAAAAATTTTGTTATGGCGCGGATGATCCTTTTTTTTATAGAATAAGGGTGACAAACGAGCACACAGTCCACCTGATGGTAAGTGGTTGCTGTGGCCCATAGACATCTACATCTATCCTCTATTACAAATCAATATGTAGATGCGTTGTCACCCGTGAGGACTAAGATGGAATGCCTCATTTCCAGTAAAAAGGGCCTCCGGCCACCTGCACTCACCAAGCGAAACGCAGAGGTAAACCTCTACTTCACGCTGGTTTTCTGTGAGGTCGTGGTACCACCCCGGTTCGAGCCGGCCCATCCGTGCGACAGCAAAAGCTGCCGCGTGGCTCTACCACTCGATCCTGAACATGACTACAGACTGTGCGGGGTAGACATGTGTCAATCATGAATGGTTCGTTCATCTGACCCGGATCGCATCAAAGCATTGATAATTGATATTACATTTTTTGAACTTACCGGATCAAACGATGGACAGAAACACAGACTAATATTATCATGCTTAGACGGGAACTACGACCAAAAGGTACGAGTATAGTAATGTCCGACGACCAACATTATCGAGCGGATCTCACAGATCGCAGAGTACTGAAACTCAAAATGATCAATTTTAATGATCGACCCGAATATCCCGGTTCAGAAGACGAATCAATATTTTAATGATCAGGTCACATAAAATGAATGAATGACACATGTTAGTGTGGGGTCTCAATTCTTCTATACACTATGTCTTAGCACCGACATCAGAAAAAAAAATTTTTTTTCAGTTGTTTAAATTCAATTTTTACTTTTTATTAAAAGTTAATTTAGTTGTCTAGCTATCTATCAGAACCTATTGCACGCCTCACAACGTGAGGGAGTTAGTGGCCATAGATCAATTTCGCTACATAAAATCGTTCTTATACTTTTAGCTAGACATCAAAAATTTACAAAAACTACAGACATTGAATTATAACATTCGTTTATTTTCTAATATCGATCCACTATAGATTATAATACATAACAAAAATGTAATTGATAAATATATGGACTGCCGTTCGTTGGTCTGTGCGTCGGTGAGTCTTCTCGCTTAATAGATATGTAAGCAACAGATTGAGATATATTCTGAATCTACAATTCTTCGCGTCCTTCTAGCTGGAATCCTGCCCAACAATATCCTAAATTTTATTATTTATTTATTTCTATTTATTTATCCCTTATTGCAACACAGCAACTAGGGGTTACAAAGGGTGGACTTAATGCCCTATGGCATTCTCTAGAAATTTTATTATGTCAAGATTTAGTGAGGAATTGATGACTAATTTATTCTAAAGACATAAGCGTTCTGAAGTGGTCTGCATCTTCAAGCCAGAATCCTCCCTAAGACATATGAATAACTTTGTTTTTTTATAGAAAAGGGGGCAAACGAGCATGCGGCTCACCTGATGGTAAGTGACTACCACCGCCCATGAACAACCGCAACACTAGAAGAATTGCAGATGCGTTGCCGACCTTTTAGAAAGGTGTAAGCTCTTTTCTTGAAGGTCGCTAAGTCGTATCGGTCCGGAAAAATCGCCGGTGGTAAACAATTCTACAGAGAAGTTGTACGAGGAAGAAAATTCCTAGTAAAACGCACAGCCGTGGACCGCCAAGCATCCAGATGGTGAGGATGATATCGTGAATTTTGACGCGATGTGCTTTCGTGAAATTTGGCGACTGGAATTAATCCGAACAATTCCTCAGAGCACTCCCCGTGGTAAATTCGATAGAAAATGCAAAGGGATGCAACATCCCTACGCAGTGCCAGTGTAACGAGCCAATCAGAAAGAACTCGGTCGTCGACGATTCGAACCGCTCTGCGCTGGATGCGGTCAATTGGAAGGAGCTGGCACTAAGGTGCCCCGGCCCAGAGATGAGAACAGTATTCCATGTGAGGCCGAACTTGTGCTTTGTAAAGTTGCAAGCGATGTGCTGGCATGAAATACTGTCTTGCTCTGCTGGGCACGCCAAGCTTTTTAGAGGCCAATTTGGCCTTCCAAGTGACCACGAAACTGCACATTATTCGATATGTCGACGCCGAGGATTCCGATTCTAGCTGAGGCAGCAAGAGGAGTGCCTTGAAACTGAGGAGATACGACAAAGGGGTTCTTTTTAGCGGTAAACCCGCAAACTTGTGTCTTCTGGGGATTGAACTGGACTAGATTTAGCCGCCCCCAATCCGAGACTTTGTTAAGCAAAGACTCGACTTCAGACAGAAATTTGTCCCGGTACTCGGCGACGTTTTTCCGAGAAATATTGGCACGGCCGGTATATAAAGCATCACCAGTGCTGTCGTCTGCATAGCAATGAATGTTATCAGTTTGCAACATATAATTGATATGCAGGAGAAACAGCGTTGGTGATAGCACGCAGCCTTGTGGAACACCAGCGTTGATAGGCTTGAAATCAGAGCATACACCGTCTACTACGACCTTGATGCTCCGATCAGCAACCAAACTGGCGATACATTTGCACAATTTCTCGGGAAGCCCATAGGAATATAAAGAAAAAATAATATAAATAAAAGCCCATAGAAACTCCGGTTCCGTTGGAGCAATATGTTTCGATCTTAGTAAATGAAAGTCACCAATAGCTCACTAAATCTTAAAATATAAACACATCTCAAAAGCCTCTGCTTTTAGTAATGGTGTTTTCGAGGGGAGGCTGCTAGCCTAAAGTCAAGCTAGCAGCCTCCCAAAAAAAGCTATATCGCCTAAAGTATTAACTCATAATTATTTTTCTCAAGTCACTATTCTTAAGACTTTGCGTTGTAGCATGGTGCAGATAACAGGTCGATAATTCTCTAGAATGTAACTTGCTTGCGTTTGCAAGATATAACAAAATTTTTAACTATGAGAAAATAACACCGAATTTGTTTTTATTAATTTTCTCTATTCTGTTATGATTTGTAGTTTTTTCTTACCTAATGAAATTATATTTTTTATTATAATTGTCACCAATACGTCATTAAATCTTGACAGGATATCGCTGGGCGGGATTCCAATTGGAAAGACGCTATTCTTCTAGTGTCGCAGAAGATGAGCCGTATTCTCGTTTACACCCTTATATAAAAAAAAAATAATTGATACGTTGTTTTTCTTGCAGAAAAGTGGTGTAACATTTGTCTTTTTTTTTCATTGTAGCAACAATTCTCCACAGAATGAATCTAGCCAAGCCAACAGTCATGTTCTGTTCACCCGCCGCTTATGAGATCCATAAAGATACTTTGAAATCTGTCGAATCGATTGAAAAGATTATAATTTTTGGTGATCAGGCTACGGATAATGCAATATCATTCAAGGACTTTTTGACTAAGCACGCCGAAATTGAGGAGTTTCTACCAATCGAAGTAAACGGCTGGGAAGACCTGGCAATCATTTTGTATTCTTCAGGCACTACTGGGTTGCCTAAAGGCATTCCACTAACACATTTGAAGTTGCTACTCATGTTAGCAGATACAGGTGCACCGAGGTAAGGAAATGGTGTTTTTTTTTAATGAACCGGTAACCATATAACCTTTGTAGTCCTACCTTTACTTAATGGCTCCGGCCTAAATTTTTAATATACTCGGGAGCATATAAATCGAGCCACTTCCTTTTTTCACGTATAATCTATACAAATAAATAAAATTGAAGTGTCTGTTTGTAATGTCAAAATTATGGCTTTTTAAAAAATGCATATGAAAGTATATACGATACGTATAACAAAAACACAATTTTTAAATTTTTTGTCTGTCTGTCTGTTTGTTCCGGTTAATCTCTGAAACGGCTGGACTGATTTTGACAGGACTTTCACTGGTAGATAGCTGATATCATAAGGAGTAACTTAGGCTACTTTTATTCTAGAAAAAGAATTAGGGTTCCGCGCAAATAAACTAAAAACTCCAAATAACACGCGGGCTAAGTCGTGAGGAACAGCCCGATAAATTATTGAATAATAACTTTATAACTGGTGATAACAGTTATTAAGAATATTTTGTGCAATAATTTTCCTTTTTTATCTTTTTCTGTACTGTTTTAACCATAGTAAACTTTCTATCAAAAGTGTCATGTTTTTTTCAAAGCCAATAATTTATCATTCAATGAGGTTATTATTCAACAATTTATCATCATTGTGAAGGTTATTCAATAAACTTTTAGGCGATATATGGTTCGAATTGATACGTTCCATAATACCAAAATTATTAACCATTATACGTGAGAAAAGAAAGTGGCTCGATTTATTTGCTCCCAAGTATCCTTAAGTCTTAAACATGAAATCATCATCACTATCGTTATCATTACCGCCCTTCACAAATACACTGCTGAACAGGCGTCACCCAAGTAATACTACAAAGCACGGTTTATTTTTTTTATAATATAAGGGTGACAAACGAGCACACAGTCCACCTGATTGAGTGGTTGCTGTGGCCCATAGACATCTACATCTATCCACGTTTGCAAATCAAAATGCAGATGCGTTGTCACCCGTGAGGACTAAGATGGAATGCGTCGTTTCCAGTGAAAAGGGTCTCCGGTTCTCTACACTCACCATACGACACACAAAAGTGTTAAGCTGCTATTTTACGCTGGTATTCTATGAGATCTTGGTCCTTCCACGGTCGAGCCGACCCATTCGTGCTACAACTATACTATTAATATAGCTACAGCATGGTCCTACCACGTATAAAAGCAGCATTCAGCAAGTTCCAGCAAGTCCAGCTATGGTGATAACTGTAACGATTGTTGATAGCCTCAACAGAAGCAGAGTTGTCGACATAGCCCAACCGATCAATAAGCTAATGTAGCAATAGGTCGGCCCTATATCTCGACGAATTGACGGTTGTCGAGATGAGACAGAGATGAGGAAGAAAAGTTTTAAAGTTGCAGCTTCGTATATGGATAAAAATTATTTCATTATACCTGAACTGACGGCTCCGTGGCGCAGTGGCTTAGCAATGAGTTACAACGCTAAAGGCCGCGGGTTCGAATCCAGCACGGAACAATTATTTGTATAACCTACAAGTAATTGTTCTGCGTCAGGATGTTTGTCCTTGTAAAATTTATATATGTAAACGGCCCCCCACGATACAGGAGAAAATCCTAGTGTGGGGTAACATTTAAAAAAAACTGCTTATTTGAACGCTTATTTGTTGGCTATACGTGTTTGTACTTGTTCCGTGCGGTATTCAAATTCGTAGCCCCACATCGTCACAGTCTAATGTTTAGCCACTAAGCGCAACCGAGCCGTCTGATCTATATATAACTTCCCGCTTTAAAAATTTATAATTTTCAAAAGCAGGAAGTTATACATTTCAGTCCGATTTTGAGAATGCGAGTTTTCATCAGATCTCCACGTTTTGAGGTCCTAGGGCGCCGTCCCGACTATTCCCGGCAGGGCGTCCGGCGTGTGTTCGTGTGTTTGTGTGTGTCTGTGTGTGTGTGTGCGTTCGTGCGTGCGTGTGTTCGTGCGTGGGTGCGTGCATGCTTGCGTGCGTGCGTGCGTATGTGCGTGCGTGCATGCGTGCGTGCGTGCGTGAGTGCGTGCGGGCGTGCATGCGTGCGTGAGTACTTGCGTGAGTGCGTGCGTGCGTACGTGCGTACGTGCCTGCGTGCACGTGTGTGTGTGTGTGTATGAATGTATGTAAATAAAATTTTGTCGTACGATATCTATTACGGGTGGCGAAGGGAGCCGCCGCCTCATCGTCCCTTCATAACCTGTTACGCACTGCACACCGCACACCGCCGGACGTCACCTGATGCGTGTGACGCCGCGTGGGAACACAACACCAGTGAAAGCCCCGCCGCGCAAATAAAAGAAGAGCATCCGGCCGCTGAGAGTCATTCGATTCTTAAGCGGCAGTGAAGAAAGAATACTCTTAAGAAAAGAAGAAATCTCCCTCTAGTGTTTCCTTAATTAGTAATTAATTTGTGGCGGGTGGAAGGAAAAGGGGAGATCTCCCGCCGGGCAAGGTGTTCTGCCCGGGGAGCGGCCAGCGCTCCGATTGGTAGTTCGGAGCTATTCTATATATGCTGCTTTAATTTCGGAACTTTGATAGCGCGATTTAGGCTTCGATGTGTTTCGCTTGTGGCGCGGTGACAGCGCCGCCACATCACCCCCCTGCTCAGACCGGAGGTCGATAGTGCAGTCCGATTGCCGGTGCGTCCTTAAAATGCCGGTGGGGAATGCATGCTGTGTGTGTAAGGGCAAGTGACGCCGGTGCGAATGATATGCCGGTGTGTAATGCATGCCGTACTACGCACTTGCAAGTGATGCCGGTGAGAACGATGAGCCGGAGCAAGTGCCATGGATTGTCTTGTAGTCTGCGGTGAGTCGAGAAGAAGGCAAGTAATCTGCGAGAGTACCGTGAAGCAGAGGCGAGCAGTAAGGCTCAGAGCCGTGCCGAACACTGTAGCGCAGAGAGTAGCTTGAAGGAACAGGAAGCATTATTATTCCAGTGCTGCGATGAACCTTTGTAAAGCTAGATGGCTTGAAGAATGTGAAGACTGCAGACAATGTCTGCTCGGGAGCGAATGAATGGGGTACTTAAGGATGATGAAGGTTTGAAAGTGTAATTTCCGAAGGTTATTGGTTGCGTGTTCAGATCACGTCGGTTGGTCACCACAGTGGCGGGTGGAAGGAAAAGGGGAGATCTCCCGCCGGGCAAGGTGTTCTGCCCGGGGAGCGGCCAGCGCTCCGATTGGTAGTTCGGAGCTATTCTATATATGCTGCTTTAATTTCGGAACTTTGATAGCGCGATTTAGGCTTCGATGTGTTTCGCTTGTGGCGCGGCGACAGCGCCGCCACAAATTGTACTGTCACATAATTGTTGTAAATAGTTAATAAATAGTTGTTAAATTGTCTCACCTTTCTTTATACAGTTCCCTAAGCTTAGTTTAGTAAAGTAAAGCTATTTAAGTAAAATCAATATATCTCTTCGAGAAATAAGTAAATTAAATACATACAGTCTTTTACACTCTTGAACTCATCGACACAGTATTTCGACTCCATCTCCGAAGCTGTCTCTAATATCTTTATTAGAACGAATCGACCGAACGAGATGATCGACACGGCGTTCGAAAGTGTTCATTTCACTTCGAGCTGATTAGATTTTCAAGTCAATCGGTCGAGCCGTTTCAAAGATTTTCAAAACATTAAAAAAATTAGATAGATTTTCGAGAGATGGCCTGAAGGGTCAACCATGTTTTTTTAGTAATTCCACAATCAACATGCACGAGCTTCTTCGAGAAATAAATGATTTCCTGTATAACTCCGTCTCTTTCTTCTTTAGACGGATACATCGCGCTAGTTGTAACATGCAAATGTTATCAGTTTTCTTGATGGCTTATTTCGCTTATATACGCTTTATTTCCTGGTTCCGTATCTCTCGTCTCGTCTCTCTCTTTAGGTATAGCGAGTTTTTAGGATTAAACTATCTACAGTTAAGTACCTCCCTAATATTACTTGGATTTTTTTGCAGTGCATATATCGGAAAAAATTTCCTCGCTACACGGGAATGGTACTATACTTATGGTTTAGTGCATACTCTGTTTCTTTTATACAAAGGTGCTACCATTTTGTACTGTCCTAGTGGGGAGTTGAAGGACTTTCTTGAGGCCATACAGAAATATAAGGTATGTTTGTATATAGATTTTTGACAGTTAATTTATTAAGTTATTAGAAATTAATTTGCTAAGGTAATGAAATAAAGTATCTTACCTAGTTTGAAGAGCACCTCCCACCCTGCCCTAATTGCGTGCACTATCTCTGTCACCACTAATCCCGTCACTACTGATCCAGCCCCAGGTTAAAACATAGCCTAAATCACCAATGGCATTGCTCTATTTCTGTATGTGAAATTTCATTACAATAAGATCAACCATTCCGAAGATTATCCCGAACAGACAGACAGACGAACATTTTAAAAAGTGTTATTTATGTCTTACTAGCATGTTTTTTTTAAAGATAAGGTTGACAAACGAGCACACAGTCCACCTGATGGTAAGTGGTTGTTGTGGCCCATAGACATCTACGTCTATCTTCGATTACGAATCAAAATGTAGATGCGTTGTCACCCCCGAGGAATAAGATGGAATGCCTCGTTTCCAGTAAAAAGGGTCGCCGTTTCTCTACACTCACCATACGAAACACAGCAGCGTTAAGCTGCTATTTTACGCTGGTATTCTGTGAGAGCGTGGTCCTTCCCCGGTCGAGCCGACCCATTCGTGCTACAACTATACCAGTAATACAGCTGCAGCATGGCTCTACCACGTTAAAAATACCCCCTGATAATAGTAAATAACCCCCTGAGCATAGACTAATTCTATGCCCATGAGCTTAATAGAAGCCGGCTAGTTCTATATAACAGATAGACACTGCAATTTTATTTACCGTTACAGGCCATTAAAGCCCATCGCTGAACATAAGCCTCCCCCATAGATTGCCTCTGGGGGGACATTTGTAATAGGTGCCAAGCTTGGCAAGCGGGTTGGCAAC